TTTAGAACATGCACAAGCTTAGACAATTAAATTTAATGGTAGTCCAATGCATTGTTACTTACCAGATATTTGGTTTGGCAGTGAAGATGCAACTTTTGCTCCTGAATTGTGTTCACTGTTTGAAGAAACTGTTATCATGTTTCTGGATATCTGAGAGGATCCCTTTAGTCTGGCATCTTCCTGACACTTCCTTTTCTTTAGAATTCCTATCAAGGCAGTTGTGCCTGAGAACGAATTTTTAACATCCAAATTCGTCTCCTGTTGCCTTTGTTCAGATTCAATTTCTGCTAAAGAAAAGGTGGGTATCAGCGGTTTGGCTTCAGTGCAAACGCTTGAATCGGAATTACTTTTTGTGATTCCCGTATGGGGCGATGTGAAACGATCAGCACTGGACAGCTTTGAAGAAGCACCATAGTGGAAATGGTTCCGTCTCTTTCCCACAATCTGAAGGGCCCTCTGGAACTCCTTCTTGTCCCTCATCAGCTCTCGTAGTAAAAGTAATGGGGATTTGTTTTTTGATGCAAAGCTTTTACCAAGCTTTTTGAGGTGGCCTCGTATGTGGTTTGACTGCCCAGTCCTGTTGTCAAACGAGTCCCCACATAAGGGACAAGAATGAATGCTCTTCACGGTCTCAGAGTTCGACTCTAGCTGTAATGCTGAGAGAAATAAAATAAAATTAGGCACAAAAACATTGCACCGTATAATATCAGACATTTGAACTTTGTAACACTGAACGACTTTTAATCTATAATTTAAATCCAGTTTGCAAGTTGGGTTTTATGTTTTATGCTCACAGTTCCTTCCACTGGTTTTATACAGGTATCTCAAAAGAATGACTGCCAAGATCTTGGATGCAGCTAGCTACTGTTGGCTAGCGCTTTGTCACATGGAGTTACACAGCGGGTAGCTCTGTATGCTTTATTTGGCGGAGTTTTTACCCCAGGAGGCCTTCCAACTATTCCCATCAGGAAAGGCCAGATAACCAAAGGGGATTTGTGTCTCTGGCTGGAATCAACACAGTAATCTTCCACTTGCCCAGCAGATGTGTTAACCACTACACTATGGAGACGGACGCAGCCAGGCGGCTAACCACCCCCCACCAAAACAAGATGGAGAATTTGGAAGAAGGCAGCCCCACTGATTTTCACAAAGCAGTTCTTGAGAGTTTGTCAGTGTTGATTGTTACCGATACAACCTACTGAAATGACCTTTGACACTATACTGTTTACATATGAATTAGCGTATTTCAAAGTGCTTATATTCTGCTGCACTGTTGGCTGCAGAAATCACCAAGACCAGAAAGAGAATCTTTAATTTTCTCTTGTTGCTGCTGATGTGGACAGAAGATGACACTGGATTGCAGTGACAGATCACAAACAATGGAAGCCTACAGTGGATTGTGGAGTGAACATTTCATTTGATCTGGCCATCTTGCAGAAAACCCTATTTATAGATAGTTTACATTAGTGCTGGGCGATGTGACGATATATATCGTGTGGATGATAGAAAAATGTCTATCGTGCCATTTGTCTTCTATCGTTTCTATCGTTTCTAACCTAGTTTTATAAATTATTACATAAAATATATCATTAAATACCCTGTGGCAAATATATTAGTGTTGTCTTGTCACTATACATACTCTAACTTTATGCAAGAGAAAATAAAGTATAAAAAAATTATATTTTTTGTAGGGGTGCAACAATACTGGTATTGAACCGTTCGATACAGTGCTTTCGGTTTGGTATGCATATGTATCGAAC